ATGTACATTGGTTGTGGGCACATCCCTGGTAGGGGGTGTGCAAGAGGCAGCTGGTTGATATTTCTCTCTCATTGACGTTTCTAGCCCTCTATCTCTTTCTCCCTTCCTCTCTGCAAAATATCAATAAAATATATTTTTTAAAAAAACTAATCAGAAAGGAACCCTAGCCCTTCTCTACACACATTTTGACAATCAACATATTTAGGACATACCTGAAAGGCTAATAAATATCCTGTTGAGTCCTCGCCTGAGATCTCCCCTAGAATTCCTGCCACCCAAAGATAAAAGCCTCAAGACAAAGGAGCCACTATGCTCTCGCTAGAGCATGCCATGACTTGTATCTTTGCTGTTTTTTTCCTAAACTCTAAAAACCACAAGACTGTCCACCAGCAGAGCAATGGGCAGTGGCAGCTCATCCCAGGCTAACCTCCTGAACCCGTCTTTAAAGCCCACTTTTCTCTGACTTTCTCACTCCTATTGCTCTTCGAAAGGCCTTTCTTTGTTCCACAGGCCCAGCTGGACGCATGTGAAAATTTTCCTACAGGAAATCAAGACTCCACACACTACCAGTGGGCCCAGGTCCCTTCTGGTAACATTTTTTTTTTAATTGATTTGAGAGGGAAACATTGACTGTTGTTCCACCTACTTATGCATTCATTGGTTGATTCTTGCATGTGCCCTGACTGGGCATCAAACCTGAAACCTGGCTCACCGGAATGATGCTCTAACCAACTGAGCCACCTCGCCAGGGCCTGTCCGCTAACATTTTGAGCAAAAGCCACATATAACAAGGTGACTTGAGCTTCTGAAGCATACAAAATCAGTCTCCTTTTGGAGTCACATGATTCAGGCACAGGGAGCATACAGTAAAGCTTGGAAAATGCAATTGTGGATGCAGAAAATACCCTTCACTTTCTTCTGCAATTATCTGCCCTACCTTCTCCCAAGGTTCCAGGCTTCCATCAAAAATCTCTTCCAGCCGAAACCGGTTTGGCTCAATGGATAGAGCGTCGGCTTGGGGACTGAAAGGTCCCGGGTTCGATTCCGGTCAGGGGCATGTACCTTGGTTGCGGGCATATCCCCAGTAGGGGGTATGCAAGAGGCAGCTGATCGATGATTCCCATCGATGTTTCTAACTATCTCTCTCCCTTACTCTCTGTACAAAATCAATAATATATATATATATATATATATATATATATATATATATATATATATATATATATATATATATAAAGCTCTTCCAGCAGGCCAGTGCAACTCAGTGGTTGGCTCTATCCCCAGAGGGGATGTGCAGGAGGCCGCCAATCAATGATTTCTCTCATCTGTTTTTATCTCTCTATCCCTCTTCCTTCCTCCCTCTAAAAATAAAAAGAAATAAATTTTTTAAAAAAAATCTCTTCCAAGAATCCTGTGGTATTCACTACATTTCCACCTGTGGCTGATGTTCCAAAGTGATTTTGCTTGAAATTTCAAGATGTGTCTCCTGCACAAGTAGACAACGGCTTACATTCACTTCCCTAATGAGTTGATTGAACTTAATTGGCCTAGCCTCAGGAATTCTCTTTTCCGCTCTATCACACTAGAGATTTCCTAACCTCATTGCCTTTCCGGCCTTCAGGCTCACTGACAGCAATGAGCCCTGCCACCAATGGGGCTCCTGGCAGCACAGCCGCTTCCTGCTCCCCACCTCCCGAAAAATACCCTCCGGGGTAGCCTCTGGTTGCACATTAGAAACACCTCAGCAACTTGAACTCTGTACAATGCCTTACTTCGCCCACTCCGAGATTCAGAATCGATTTGGGAAAAGGCCTGGCATGTGTGTATGTGTGTGTATTTTCTTTTAAATATATATTTTATTTTTTTACAGAGAGAAAGGGAGAGGGAGAGTTAGAAACATTGATGAGAAACACCAGTCAGCTGCCTCCTGCACGCCCCCCATTGGGTATGTGCCACAACCAAGGTACATGCCCTTGACCAGAATCGAACCTGGGACCCTTAAGTCTGCAGGGAAATGCCCTATCCACTGAGCCAAACTGGTTAGAGCCATATATTTTTTGTTTTGTTTTGTCATTAATCCTCATCCGAGGTTATTTTTTCCAATAACTTTTAGAGAGAGTGGAAGGGACAGAGAGAGAAGCATTGATGTGAGAAACATCAGAAACATCTGACTTTTTGCCTCCCGAACACACTCTGATAGGGCTGGGAATCAAACCTGCAGCCCAGGTACTTCCCCTTGACTAGGAATTGAACCCAAGACCCTTTGGTGTGCAGGCTGTCATTCTAACTATCCAGCAACACCAGCCAGGGGCGTAAGTTTTTTTCTAGCCTTCCCAAATACACACACACACACACACACACACACACATTTTTTTTTTTTTGGGGGGGGGGTATAGCAAAAGGTGGAAATTTATTGAGAAACAAGCACAGACTCCCATGTGGAAAAGGGAAGAGTCCCATTGATCCCTTTTCTCCATGGTTAATAAAGGCTGCAGATCTTTTTTCTTTTTCTTTTTTTTAATACATTTTATTGATTTTGTACAGAGAGTAAGGGAGAGAGATAGTTAGAAACATCAATGAGAGTCATCTATCAGCTGCACACCCCCTACTGGGGATATGCCCGCAACCAAGGTACATGCCCTTGACCAGAATCAACCCGGGACCTTTCAGTCCCCAAGCCAACACTCTATCCATTGAGCCAAACCGGTTTCGGCAAGGCTGCAGATCTTTGTGCTTTGATATCACCTCTAATTGCTCACTATCTCCCTAGATTGGTTACTATAGCAACTTGAGAGCTCAAACCTCACATGAAGTACGTGAGGTTCCCTCCTTTTTCTCCCCATTGTTTCCCTATTCCCTCTAAAAATACATTTTTATTGATTTCAGAGAGGAAGGGAGGAGACACAGAAACATCTATGATGAGAATCAACTGACTGCCTCCTACGTGCCCCACACTGGGGATGTAGCCTGCAACACAGCATGTGCCCTTGACCGGAATGGAACTGTGACTTCCTGGTTCATAGGTCAATGCTCAACCACTGGTCCATACTGGCCCGGCCCGAATGATTTTAATACCACTAGGTTAAAGAATCAGATCTTGAATGGCTTGAAGCTAAGAGATTTATTCCCTATATTGAACTTTGTATATTCTATTATCATAGGCTATATTATACTTTTCCCATCTGTGACTAAAACAGGCCTTTGAGAATTGGCCGTTACCAAAAGAACTCAGACTCCTTTCCTCTACAAGCTTTTGCGAAGGGCTTCTTGAACTTTGTCATTTCTAAGATGTTTGGTTTCCCCAGAGGGTAATTTATTGAATGTGGAGGGGTTTTTTTTGTTTTTTTAAAATATATTTTTATTGATTTTGTACAGAGAGGAAGGGAGAGAGAAAGCTAGAAACATCCATGAGAGTCATCGATCAGCTGCCTCTTGCACACCCCCCCACTGGGAATATGCCCACAACCAAGGTACATGCCCTTGACCGGAATCGAACCCGGGACCTTTCCGTCCCCAAGCCAACGTGCTATCCATTGAGCCAAACCGGTCCTGGCTGAATGTGGAGTTTTAATTTTGACTTCAGAGCAGGTATTCCGGGCTGTTTCTGGCAGGAAGCAGGCTGGGACTCAGGGAGAGGCGGTGTTCAGGGCTAACTGCCAGGCAGGGAGACCCCCCCCCCCCCCGGAGAAGGGGAGGGGGGGACTTGGTGGGAGGAAAGCCCATTTCCCTTCTCCACAGCTCAACAGCTTTTCTCTCTCCTTTGGGCATTAAACTTGCTATTCCTTTAAATTGCTATTCCTTTGAGATTGTCCATAAGAAGGACAAAGGGGAACCGATTGTTAAAACGGACAAAAACACTGCTCAGAACCAGACTCGAACAGCCCAATGCCAAGTGTCCGGCGGTTTGGAAGTAGCCCGGCACCCAAACACCACTTGCGCCCATTTTGTCCTGGATGTGAGTGCAGCGACACCCTCACATGCTCACCTACAAAAGAGCTTTAGGATGCCTGACCTGTAGAGGGTGGTGGGGGCAGGGTTACTGGGGAGACAAAGAACCTGGGACAGTGCCTACCCCATCCTCTGTGGCCCGGCCCCCGAACTCTTCAGCACATTTCTGTCAGACGCTCTTAGAACTGCGGAGTGAGGCCACTGGATAAGGCAAAAGGAGGCTGCCGGAACTGAGAGGATAAATAATTGCATATGATCTCCAGCTGGGGTTTACAGAACCAGAGTGTAAACCTGCACCTCATTTTTGCTGGTTTGCCCTCCCTCAAATGTAAATGTATTTACTGTGTAACAGAAAGATTGGAAGACTCACAGGTCAGAAGTGGGCACTGAAAAGCTCTGCCCACATGAGTGCAAGTGAGGACCCATAGCCCCTACTCTCGGCCTTTAACCCGCACCAGCCTCTCTACCCAAATCCCTTTGGCTGCTCCAGCCCCTACTTTCCCTATAACAAGTCCCACCCCAATCAAACGGCCACCTAGGATTTGTTTTCTGATACCTATGTCATTTACCACCTAGAATTAAGTCCCCACCAAATGGCCAGAGCCATGGCTTTTAACGTGTGCACCTTTCTTCAGAAGCTCTCCCTCTGGCCGGCTATGGAATGCAGGTATTTCAGAAGACTCCATTAACTTCGCAAATAAAAACAAGCACAACTACTAACATTTTATTTTCCATCCTTAACTTACAAATTATAAAAAAGAAAAAAAATGACTTTTGATCTGTTTACAAAGTCCCCACTTCCAAAAAAAAATAAGACAGAGGGTGGCAGTGTTGATTCATTTTAGAGAAAAGACACCCTTGAGAATCCAATCACATTACATGCCAAGAATTCTAGAGGACACATTGGTTATATCAAGAACAAACAAGTTAAACATGTTCACCTGACTTTAGACTGAACTAAAAGTTAAAAAAATAAAAATACACACATAGGGCAACAGCAAGGTCCTTAAGTCCCCTTAGAGAAAAATATGAAAAAAATAAGGTAGGGCCCCCTAATCCACCTCCTCAATGGTGGGGCCAGAGCCAGAAGCCCCTTTGGGGGCCTGAGCCCCAAAGCCAGCAGCCCCGGGGCCCCCCGCACCCTGGTACAGTCCGCTGATGATGGGGTTACACACCTGCTCCAGCTCCTTCCTCTTGTGCTCGAACTCCTCCTTCTCCGCCAGCGTGTTGGCGTCCAGCCAGGAGATGACCTCCTGGCACTTGTCCAGCACCTTCTTCTTGTCCGCCTCGCTGATCTTGCCCTTGAGGCCCTCGTCCTCCACGGCGCTCTTCATGTTGAAGGCGTAGGACTCCAGGGCGTTCTTGGCGGCCACCCTCTCGCGCTGCACCTCGTCCTCGGCCTTGTACCTCTCGGCCTCCTGCACCATGCGCTCGATGTCCTCCTTGCTCAGGCGGCCCTTGTCGTTGGTGATGGTGATCTTGTTGGCCTTGCCGGTGCTCTTGTCCATGGCCGTGACGTTCAGGATGCCATTGGCGTCGATGTCAAAGGTCACCTCGATCTGGGGCACGCCCCTGGGGGCCGGTGGGATGCCGCTGAGCTCGAAGCGCCCCAGCAGGTTGTTGTCCCTGGTCATGGCCCTCTCGCCCTCGAACACCTGGATCAGCACGCCCGGCTGGTTGTCCGAGTAGGTGGTGAAGATCTGCGTCTGCTTGGTGGGGATGGTGGAGTTGCGCTTGATGAGGGCGGTCATCACGCCCCCGGCCGTCTCCAGCCCCAGCGACAGGGGCGCCACGTCCAGCAGCAGCAGGTCCTGCACGTTCTCGGACTTGTCCCCCATCAGGATGGCCGCCTGCACCGCCGCCCCGTAGGCCACCGCCTCGTCGGGGTTGATGCTCTTGTTGAGGTCGCGCCCGTTGAAGAAGTCCTGCAGCAGCTTCTGCACCTTGGGGATGCGGGTGGAGCCCCCCACCAGCACCAGGTCGTGGATCTGGGCCTTGTCCAGCTTGGCGTCGCGCAGCGCCTTCTCCACGGGCTCCAGCGTGCCCCGGAACAGGTCCGAGCACAGCTCCTCGAACCGCGCCCTGGTGATGGACGTGTAGAAGTCGATGCCCTCGAACAGCGAGTCGATCTCCAGGCTGGCCTGCGTGCTGGACGACAGGGTCCTCTTGGCCCGCTCGCAGGCGGTGCGCAGCCGCCGCACGGCCCGCTTGTTCTGGCTGATGTCCTTCTTGTGCTTGCGCTTGAACTCCTCCACGAAGTGGTTCACCAGCCTGTTGTCAAAGTCCTCGCCGCCCAGGTGGGTGTCGCCGGCCGTGGACTTCACCTCGAAGATGCCGTCGTCGATAGTCAGGATGGACACGTCGAACGTGCCCCCGCCCAGGTCGAAGATGAGCACGTTGCGCTCCCCCTTGCCCGTGCGGTCCAGGCCGTAGGCGATGGCGGCCGCCGTGGGCTCGTTGATGATCCGCAGCACGTTCAGCCCCGCGATCACCCCCGCGTCCTTGGTGGCCTGGCGCTGCGAGTCGTTGAAGTAGGCCGGCACGGTGATCACCGCGTTGGTCACCGCGTAGCCCAGGTACGCCTCGGCGATCTCCTTCATCTTGGTCAGCACCATGGACGAGATCTCCTCGGGGAAGAAGGCCTTGGTCTCCCCCTTGTAGCTCACCTGCACCTTGGGCTTGTCGCCGTCGCTGATCACCTGGAACGGCCAGTGCTTCATGTCCGACTGCACCACCGCGTCGCCGAACTTGCGGCCGATCAGCCGCTTGGCGTCGAACACCGTGTTCTGCGGGTTCAGCGCCACCTGGTTCTTGGCCGCGTCCCCGATGAGCCGCTCGGTGTCGGTGAAGGCCACGTAGCTGGGCGTGGTGCGGTTGCCCTGGTCGTTGGCGATGATCTCCACCTTGCCGTGCTGGAACACCCCCACGCACGAGTACGTGGTGCCCAGGTCGATGCCGATGGCCGTGGTTTTAGCCATGCCGGCGCCCTGCTCTCTCGCCGCGCTGGGCTCGGCCTTTCCTGGAAGCGGCGGTCCCGGCCGGGAACGGGAACGGGAACGGGAACGGGAACGGGAACGGGAACGGGAAGCGCGGTCTCTTCCGAAGCGGGAGGCTGCCGCGGGCTGCGGAGGCCGGTCCTCGGAGCTGCGGGTCTGCGGAGGGCGGGCGGCGACCACCGGCGGGAAGAGCGCGGGGCGGGCAGGTCGTGGCGGGCTCGCTGTTCCCTGGGGCGGGCGCTGCGCTTATAACCCCCATCGAGCCACGCCCCCCGCCCGCGCTCGCCCAATCCCCGGGCTCGGCGGGGCGGCGGGTCGGGAAGGTTCCAGGGGCTTCCCGGCGCGCCCGGCCCCCAGGCTCCCTCTGGCCAATCAGCGCCCTGGGCGCCGCCCTCCCAGAACTCTCCAGACGCTTCTGGGCCCGAGGGGCGGGGCGCGTCCGCCGGGGAGGCAGTGGCCTGGGAAGTGGGGTGCTGGCGCCGCCCTCTCTGTGGGGTCCCGCCCCCGCGCCCGCCGCCCAGCTGAATCGGCCTGGGAGAGGGTGTAGGGTGGTGGCGCTCTAGCTGGTTGGTTTCCGAGCGGAAACTGCCGGGGTTTCTTCAGGAGGGCGGGTATTGCGGGCCAAGGCGACTCTGATTGGCCCTTGGCCCTGACGGACGCGGCGCTGGGGCCGCTCGCCGGGTCCCGGCAGCCGCGGCGGCTGCGGAGGGCGGCCTCGGCCCTCACGGCGTTTCCCTGCTCGTTTGTAAACCGGGAAGAAAAGAGGTCATGCGATATCGTTTTGATATCAAGTTTACAAGGAATATCTGGGGGTGGGAACATCTAAATTTCCAAAAGAAAAGCAATCAGGTAAATAGGCAGCTCTTCCCCCCATATTTTATTATTTTAAATACATTTTTTATTGTCTGGAGTATTACAGATTATCTTATTTTTCTCCCCTTACCCGCTCCTCCCAGCCCCTCACACCTTCCGGAACTGGCAGTTCTTAAACTGGAAGAGGGAACGTGCTGGGTGGGGGAGGGAAGGAGCCGGGCGGGGGGAGGGGGGAGCAGGGAGGGGGGAGCGAAAGGGTGGGGGAGAAAGGCCTGCCGGGTCCTCTGCGTCCCTGTTCTCCCCCAGTCTCTCCTCCCCTTTGCCTGGGGCCAGCCTCCCGCCAGAGAAAGGAACAAATGTTTTGCTATAGAATTTGTCGAGAAGGCCTTTCGGGCTTCCCTCTCACTCATCCTTCGGGGCCTGGTCCCAGCCTCTCCCTCCCGCCTCTCTGCCTTCTTTCTGGCTTCAGCTGCGTGTGGCCTAGGCCCAGGGTTAGCCTCAGTCCCTGCAGCCCGCAGGCCCTCCCAGGATTTTTAAATAAATGCGATGGTGAGTCTGCCAGAGAGGAGTGTGCGGGATGTTCAGTTCTCTTTAACACCATGGCCAGGTGGCTGTGGACCCAGGAACCAGGAGGTCAAGGTTCAATTCCCAGCACATGCCCTGGTTCCACTGGATCCCCAGGAGGGGGTCAAGGAGGGGCAGCTGACCAATGATTCTCTCTCATCATTGATCTCCCACCCCATCCTCTCCGAAAACAATAAAATATATGTGTATATTGAACAGTATCATGGCGCAGCTGGTCGGCAGGGGGCCAGTCTTAAGCTAACAGGCGGGAATCACCCAGTGAGGTGGGAGGGTTGGGGGGACCCAGGCTCCAGTTCCAACTCCTCTAAACTTCAGGTTATTTGCGGTGCACATAATTCACTCACTTGCTTATCTTGTCCCCCATTCCAACTCAACTGCGCATTCCCCTCCCTTCTGTCTGAAAGATGGTCACTGGTCATTTATTTTGGCTTTTTTCCTTGTTCATCCTTTTGGGCATCAGGACCCCTTGTTAGGTGCCTGAAATGAAAATGTGAGGGACATTAAAGCAAATGTAAGGCCCTAGCTAGTTTGGCTCAGTGGATAGAGTGTGGGCTTGTGGACTGAAGGGTCCCGGGTTCGATTCCAGTCAAGGGCACATGCCTGGGTTACGGGCTCAATCCCCATTGGGAGGCGTGCAGGAGGCGGCCGGTCAATGATTGTCTCTCATCATTGATGCTTCTTTCTCTCCCTTCCTCTCTGAAACGAATAAAATATGTTTTAAAAAGTAAAGCAAAAGTAAGGGGCTCACAACCCACTGAAAGGACGTTGCTACAGCCACGTGTCTTTTTTTGGCTAAACCCTTACCCGAGGATGTGTTTTTATTGATTTTTAGAGAGAGGAAGGGAAAGAGAGAAACATCAATGGGTTGCCTCCTGGCGCCTGGGGATCAAACCTGAAACCCACTTATGTGTCCGGATCAGCAGTACAGGAGGGTGCTCCACCAGCAGAGCCGCCGGACAGGCCCACCCATGTGTATTTTTAAAATTGAATTTGTGCGGGGGGTATTGGTTAATACCAATAAGTAGTTTCAAGTGTGTAATCTATAATAGTCACCAGTGTATTGTGTGCTCACTCAAAGTCAAGTCTCCTGCCACCATTCATCCCCCCGGACCCTCTTCTGCCTGCCCACCCTGTATCCACAGCTCAGAAAACGTCAGCGTGCAAGCGGGAGGGGCCTTTTACCGAAGGGAAGCAGTCTTGCTTTTGAACATCTTGTTCAATTGGCATTACACTCACACACACTCACACTCACACACACACACACACACACGCACGCACATACACCATCAAAACACCAAGCCAAGGACATCCAGCTGTTTTTTTCTCTTTTAATTTGTCTTTATTGTTGAAAGTATTATAAATACCCCCCTTCTCCCCACATTGACTTCCTCAAGTGTCACCCCTGTCGGCTCCCCCTCAAGCCTACTGCACTATTTTTGTTGTTGTTAATCCTCACCAGAGGAGTTTTTTCCTTGCTTTTCAGCGATTAGAGGGGAGTCAGGGGGAAAGAGAGAAATGTCAACTGGTTAAATCTGATAGGGATAAGCCAAAGACCCGTGGGTGCTGGTGCTGGTGCTGGGCCAACACTCTTAACCACTGAGTCACACTGACCAGGCTAGTTATGATTTACTCAAAATGATCTAAAGTAATGTTGCAAAAGGTTGCTG